AAAAAAAAAAAAAAAAAATCTCTTTTTGCCTGGCAGCGAAAGACTGGCTCTCGGCTGGGGCAAAGGGAGGGCAGAAATAACCCCCTGGTTGTGTGTTCACCTCCCCAGTTGTAAATCAGGATGGCCAACCTCTGATTGAAGGCAAGCTGAAAGAGAAGCAAGTCCGCTGGAAGTTTATCAAAAGGTGGAAAACTCGGTACTTCACCCTGGCTGGCAACCAGCTGCTTTTTCGGAAAGGAAAATCTGTAAGTCCAAAGACCATCAATTTGATTTTTCTCTCCCCAACCCCCCCCCTCCCCCCTTTTCCAGAGGTTTTTGTCACTCAGCTTTGCCCGTGGTCTCTGTACCCGCGTGGCGAACCGAGCCGAGGGATTGCTCGCCAGCTTTAGTTATATTTTTCTCTCTGGATCAAGAGGGTGAGATTTTTGAGAGTGCTCAACAACTGCCCAGGGCTCGGCACTGCCACTCAGTGATTTTTCCCTGCTAGCTCTGCCCCGTGCCCAGGATCGTCCCCTCTGCCTCCAGGGTCACCTCTCGGATATTCCAAAAGCTTCTGCTCCTGAAGGAATTAAGTGGGTTAAAAAATAGTTTCCCGTCTTGACCAGTGGTTCTTTATTTCCTTGAATAAACACAAATCCAATAAATTCTGCGCAGGTAAGTATATTTTTTCCACGTGCAAAGCGCACGGCACGGCACAGCGAGGTGCGTGGCAGCCACGGGAAGTGAGCTGTCACTTCTGCGTCCCCAATTTTCACGGGACCAGACGTGCTCAGGGGGGAGATGGTCGCGTTCAGAATATCTGGAAAGCCAAGCCCTTCTGAATGCCTCAGGGCAGTCTCCAAAATCAAACGACTGTTCACCTTTTTGAAAGCCTTGCCTGCTTTTGTCCATTAATAACTGTTCTGGAGATGATGACGTTATAATTGGTGTTATTTGCAGGGGAAGTACCAGCGTCTGAAGCAAGGTGAGGCTAGAATGCTTTTCTCCCAAAGGAATGGAAGGTTTTTTGCTTTCACTTCTACCATCGCCTAAATTCAGAGAAATTCTCCTGAAATTTCTGTGAAATTATTTGAAATTTACACTGAGAGACTCAGAGGAGCGTGTCCCAGGGCATGGAACAGCACGTAGCTGAATCCAGTCCCCATTAGTTTTTACTTCTCAGTTATTAGAAACTAATTTTCTTCAGCTTTTCGCAACAAGAATTATCAAGCATCGTACAAAATAGTCTGCTTCTTTTTGTTAAAAGAGCTCTCTCTTAGATAATCCAAAAATAGTTGCATCTTTCAGTTGTAGCCAAACCTTAATACTTCTGGTAAATAATCTTTATTTTTATAGAAACCCAGAAACTCTTAAAGCTTCTCAGATGGTTTCCTGAGCCCCTTCCTATAAGAAATACAACAGGGTGTCCTGCCTGGGAGGAACATGGGACAATACAATCCTTCTGAAAGCAAGTAGGTCAGGAAATAGCCTTTTCCTTAATTTCTAGTGACTTTTTCTGATATTTCGGTTGAGATTCTGAAGCCAGTTTAGTCCATACGTGCACCACAGGTACTGCTCAGTACTGGCGGATGCTCACTTTTGTAAGAGTGTCAGAATTGTCATTTTTTTAACAAGTCAGTTGGCTTAGAGAAATGTATTTAATGGGATGGCTTTAATTATTTCTCCAAATAAGCCAGGCCTAAGGCTCTCAGAATGCCTTGGTTACTCCTGGGATGTGATCACCTCCTTACCTTTGCCTTCTCAGTGCTCCCTTGTTCACGTGGGGCGCATGCAATGTCACAGGTGGGTGAAGCTGGCAGATGAGACTCTTGAACAGCAGATTTTGCTCAACAGCATAAATCACACAGATTAACTTTCCTGTTTTTAACTGGCAAACTCAAGGCTTCTTTGCTTTTTTTTTTTTTTTAAAGTTGGACGCAAATACCTTCAGTGTAGTAGGCTGGGGTCCGGCCCGCCGGGGACAGCAGCGGGGTTGTCACACCTGCATATTCAGTCTTTCAAGCTGGTGTGTTCTATTCTGTTACTTCTACATTTTTGGCCTAAATTTGAGTCAAGTCCTGCCATTAACTATTGCTTGGCTTGCAGCCTGCAGCAACCCCTGAGCCCACCACTTTTAAGTTGCCCATGTGCCCTGGGCTGACGATTGCAGACACCAAACACCAAATTTTAAACCCTTTAAGCAGGACCGGAGGTATGAAGCCTCACAGAAGGGGTTTAGATAACAAAAGTGTGATTTTCAGACCCCGCTGGAGGTTCGCTCTGCGCGCGAGGATCAGCCCCGCGCCGGGTGGGTGCCGGTGCCGGGAGCATGGCAAGGTGCAGGGTGAGGGGCTGCGACCAGCTGGGGCGGCGGCTGAGGGTCCTTCCCAGCTGCAGCCGGTGCTTGTTCCAGCCCCTGGAGCGCTTGCCTGGCTGAGCATGAGGGCTCTGCCCCGTCATCTCTGGCGCTGCGGGCAGGGCTGGGTGCTGCGTGGGTGTTTGGGCTCCACACGCCGCTCGCTGGAAAGTACAAACCAGCACAGAGGAGGGATTGGGGGATGGCCAGCTGGCTGGGGCTGCTTATTCCTGGAGCCCCACTGTGAACCTTCCCTTCGTCAGAGTAACCATGCGGACAATATTCACTCTGTGTAGGCAACTGCACGGCCAGTGGGTAAAGGGGAGGCAGGAGAAAACCGACATATAAGAGGTCCAAAAAAAGAGCCACATCCTAAACTCCTGGAAAATTGTGGTAAACTCCTGCCACAGAAATGTGCCTGGGGTACAATCAACTTTCTGTAGTGAACCCTGAGGGCAAACGCTGTGTCGTAACAAAGGGGGTATATAATTTTTGCCAGCTAGTCTCCTAAATGTAAGGTTCTGGCTCACAGAGCGCAAAGTTTTGGTTCTCGAGTCTATTGTTGCTTTGCATTTTCTGTGATAAAATCTTCATGATGTTTATCCCAGGTCAGATTTCAGTGCAGAGCCAGCTTAATACTGTCAATAAAGCCTTAACTGGTGTTTGTGGAAGCAGGGGAGGGTGGGCCACTGCTGTGGTCCCGTGGTCATGAACAGGGAATCGAGTCTGTTCCCGTGTGAAACTGGAGATGAACTTCATTTTTTGTGGAAAGCCGTTTGGTCAGAACTGAATGTTTTAGTGAGAAATTATCCATTTAAAGAAAAATTCTCAGGTCTGGAACAGGGTCCCTGACAAAAATGGAATGAGACAGATAAATAAATGTTCCATCCCAGAACGAGCAACGGCAACACGAGGAGCAGTGCCGGGAAGGTGACAGCTCTGTGCTGGCACCGCCGCTGGCAGCCCAGGGACCCCCCCCTGTCCCGGAGGGGTCTGTCTGCTCACCTGCCGCGGGCCCCCCCGGGGCTTCGGGGAAGCTGGTCTTGCTGGAGAGCTGCTTCCATCGAGGGATGGGCTTTTCTGCTGGATTGAGTCACAAAGAGGGGATTGCCCGGGGTTTATGGCACTTCAGGAACGTAGGAGACCTTGACTGCAAATAATACGTGTGTGTGCAACAGAGAGGAGCTCCAGCAGTTGGGAAACGCATCCTGGGTATTCGTTATGGATGTGGAAAACTGGCAGATCAGGGGTAACGGTAGGGGACTGTCACATCCCAGAGAGGAATCACAGCTGCTGGGCTTGGGACTTCCTTTGGGTGGTCTTTCCAGGTGAGCTTTTCCTTAGAACAGTCAAATAGTCCTGGTTCTTTCCCAGAAGGACCGAGGCGTTACTGCAGAAGTGTCTGTGCCCAGCCCTGGTCCCGTGTTTCGGAGCTGGCCTGCTGGGAGAGCAGCTCTGGAGACAGCAGCTCCCACACCGAGTGGTGCTCAGCTCCCGCAAGATAATTAACCCCTAATTCGCACTCAGATCGGTCCAGATCCTTCCTTATACAACAGGAGCAGAAAGCCTTTGTGAAACCTGCCTTACTCCTCCTGGTAAAAGTATAAGAAGCTCACCAGGAGAAACATAAATATTCTGGAGGAATCAGGGCTTAAACTTCTCACCTGGAGACCCAATTTGTACATTGTTTAGGAGCTCGCAAATCTCTTCCCCCACAGGAAATTTCCATGACTTTGTACAACTCTCTCTTAAGCTCCCTGCATCATATTTCTTACAATGACATTAAGATTTCCTACATGTACCTACTTTATAAGTTTTCAAACAAAATTGCAACTGAGCTGTCCTGTATTCTCCGCTCCCCACTGAGAAATGCCCGTTACCCTCGCATTTTCTGAATCAGACTCAAGGTATTTGTTCTGTTGTCAAAACCTACAAAAGGGAGTCGCTGCTTCTGGTTTTGGGTGGAGACTCTGAGAAGGGGAAGGACTGGCCCCTGCTCAAGAGCAGAGCTTCCCTCAGTGCCCGAGGACTGGCTGGTTTTTGTACGTAGGAAGCGTTTGCCATCGGCACGAGCTGTGCCGGGCCCCGTTAGCAGAGCTCACCGTTATTAAAAGCCAGAGAAAGGAAAATCCAAGCCCACGTTAAAAGCTGAAGCTGGAACTCAAAAGTGCAGGTGGTGAGGGGGAAGAGCCCGCGGGCATCTCTGTGGACGCTGGGCCGTGGGGTGCAGGAGGCCACGGCGCTGCGTGGGAGGGGGGTATTGAACTCCCCTTGAGGCTCTTTTGGGAGGTCCCCACGGGTGCGTTTGCCCGCAGGAGCAACGCTGACAAGCTCAGCTCTAGAGACACCGACTCTTTATTAGGATGGTCTTGGTTCTGTCTTCCCTGTGTTTCAGAAGGACGACCCCGACGAATGCCCCATCGAGCTCAGCAAGGTGCAGAGCGTTAAAGTGGTGGCGAAGAAGCGCAGGGACCGCAGCCTGCCCCGGGCCTTTGAGATCTTCACCGACAGCAAGACCTACGTTTTCAAGGCCAAGGACAAGAAGAACGCCGAGGAGTGGCTTCAGTGCATCAACGTCGCCGTCGCCCAGGCTAGAGAGCGGGAGAGCCGAGAGGCCACCACCTACCTCTAGAGCCACTGGCACCGCCGCGCCGTGCCGGGGACCTCTTTCACCTCCAACAGCCCCGCCGGCCCCTGGACCACGGGAATCTGTGGGGAAAACCACGAGTTAGGAGGAGCCAGGGAGAGCTTTGTGCCGCGGGAGAGGTCTGAGGCCTCGGTGACCCTACCAGGGGATGGAGTGCCGCCGTGCAGGAGCACTCCCGGCACTGGGGCGTTGGCTGGTGCGGAAGCAGCTTCTGCATCCACGTGGGAAATGCAGGTTTTTAAACTAACGGCCTGCAAGGAGACAGGGTTAGAAACAAACCCAGACCCCAACCCCTCAGCCTTTGCCTCTGGGGTACACAAGGTCTCAGGGCTGCGGATGCGGCAAGAGCATTCGAGTGCATACGGACTTTCTGCTTTCCTCAATCACCTTCTGTCTGTAAAAAGATCATTTTCCTTCTTATTTAATCTCAGCGTACTTCATCCTTTTACTGTTTATACGTGTCTGTGGAAAAAAAATCAAAATTCGCTGCTTCTTTCAGGTTTAGATTGAGCAATTTTAAAGATTTAATACTGCTGAAAAAAAAAAATATTTAACTGTTTTGATCTTCCCTTTTTCCTGCTTTTTTTCCCCTTCATAACTGAATGTAATTTTAAAAAATTATTTTCCTTTCATTTTTTTAATTGTCGTCTCTGTTCTGTAACTTTTCAAAACTTCTCCAAAATCAGAAAATTCCATTTGTTTGATTTTCTTTGTCACTCTCAAATGGTTCTAAAGTGAAGGAAGTAATGTAGAAAAAGCTCAAAGGAAATGAGGAAAAAAGGGGGGGAAATGAATGAAAAGTCTGCAAATGAAGAAATGGACTTGGAGATCATTTAAGGCTGAGTAGAAATAAAATCTTAAATTTTCCAACCTAGAAAAATGTATCCATTTTAAATTTTCCAACCCAGACTAAAAGTTGTTGCCAAAACGGGGGATTTAAGAGGGGGAAAATTCAGGAAAATAATTAACTGTAATGCTTTTTACTGTGACATGTAGCTTCTACTCGGTAGCAGAAGGAACCCACGGCTTTTCTGAGAGTTTCCTGCAGAGCACAGCGGTACAATCTGCTGTCGGAAATGTTCCCTTGTCGTCTTTCCATCACGGTTGCTGGGTGAGTTCTGGCTTTGGCTTTGCGGACGGGAGGGCAGCGGGGGCCGGTGGCAGGGCGGGGCCTGCCAGGGCCCATCGGAAGCTCTCGGGGAACGGGGGAGCAGGGGGAATGACCCGGGAAATAAATTTGGATTTAAGGCGATTGAGCAAAGCGAGCGCTGGCGGTGCTGAGCGGGGCCCGCTCTCGGCGTCACCGCGAGGTTTGTGTCTCCTGTCGCCGTTCTCCAACGGGGTGCGGCTCAAACCATCAGCTCCCTCGGAATTTTCCCACTATCCTGAACGTTCCCCAACTCTCTTGATTTCACCGGAGCTGCTGCTGCTCGGACAGCTCAGAAACATTATTCTTCCTGCACTGAAATTCTCTGGCTTTGGGTAAAGGGGGCCACGCCCGGACTGGAGGAGGCGCGGAGGGAGCGGGACCCGAGTGATTTAACTCGGTGTTTCGGTGCCTCCCTCCTTGATGCGGTTTTTCAGCGGGGTTTACAGCCCAGAGCTTGGAGCCTTGTCGTGTGGCATCTAAATATTTATCTTTGCAGTCTGGTAACTTGCAAGCGCGGTGTGTTGCTGGTGCTTGTCTCTCCAGAGCTCTGCAATTTGTTACACTGACAGGTAAGACGCTAACACGCGGTGAGGAGCATTTATTCCAATTAGAATGAGGAAAAACTAGTTTATGGGAGCGTGGGAGCACCTGAGTTCTGCTGCCAGGCCAGAGCTAAGGGCTGCCCCGTCCCTCGCAGCAGCCTGAGCTGGCGGCTCCAGAGAGGGATTTCTCAACCTCATCCACCAAAGCACCGTCACATATTTGGGGAGAAACGCTGTGGAGCAGCACCAGTGCAATGAATTTCCATCTACAGAGAAAGGAAAATAAGGCTAAACTCTCAAAAGCTGTTTGCTATTTCTGCGTCCCCTTTTTTAGTTGCCTGCACTCGTGGGGACGTCTGTGTTTCTTCGCTTGGTTGTTTCCCATTATTTTTAATCGTTTCCCAGACCTGACAGTGATGTTTTTGGGGGCACCAGGGAACTGGCAGAAAGATGCCAAGACCTTGAGCACTGCAGCTCTGCTGTAGCCACCCGTGGGCAGGGTGAGAAATAAAAGCAAAGAAGCTCAAAAATGGTTTGGGGCAGGATTATCTGCGGTGGCCAGGCTCTGATAGTGACCTTCTGGATGATGGCCTTGCCTGGTGCCACCACGCTGCCCACCTGTAGCCACGATATCACCTTTCCAAACCACCCTCCAGCCCGGGGGGGTCCCTGTGCCCCCACCCGTGCCACCCCACTGTCCTCCTCCTCCTCGCGGGCCACCGACCACTGGTCAGACCAATCCCAAATCACATCTTTTCCAACTCCACGTTTTCTCCAAATCCTCTTTGAGACAGTGAAACAAAATGCTCTCGCTCTCCTTCCCCAACTCCTGCAGGAGTCGGCGTATGTTTGTTTTGTTTTGCTCGAGGGTCTCCAGCATTTCCAGAGACCCTCCCAACGCTGATGGGATGGAGCCTCCTCCAGCCCCGGGGAGCTCGGCAGCTCGTCTCGACCAGCGCTCCAGCCCGGGCTCCTGGTGTGTGTCGAATGACTGGCCTGGCCCCCGTGCCCTGACAGGTCAGCGAGCCCCTGTCTGCAAAGACAATATTTTATTTCCAACATTCCTGTGGTGACTGGAGAAGGAAGTGCCGATGGATCGCACCGCGCGGGCAGCAGCTGAGAACAAAGCGGTTGCTGAAGCGTTCCTGCATGATGGAAAATCAGGGAGGGCTTTAAAACCAGCCATAGGTTTGTAGATCTAAAAGATAAATTTGCATCGACGCTAACGATGTCAGAGGGGAAAGAGAAGGACCTCTGTCAATGGCCCGTGGGATGCCTTAACCAGCTCCAGACTCCCTGATGCTCTCAGCGCTCCAGAAAGACGCTGAAATGTTCAAATTCCTGAGAATTCTTGTAACAACTCAAATGTGGAGATGAGTGTTAGGTCATAAAATGTAGCAAAGTGGTCAGAACAACTTTGTTAAAGCTTAATTTGGTTACAGAAAATATGGAAAGCCTGTCTGGGAGCGGCCCATCCAAGGAAGTTGACCAATGCTTGCGTGGGCCGCCTGGCCGGGCAGAGTCCTGTGCCCCATCGCTCACGTGGAACCAGGCAACGTGTGCTGCCATAAAATATTATCGTATGTATAAATTCTATTACACTTTGTGCCTCTAACACGCGCGAAGTCCAATCCAAGCCTGACACTGATGGCCAAAAGCATTGGAGGAAGGTTCAGGCTTTTTGTCTGTGACCCTTTATGTGCTGTTGTCTCAGGGCTGTGGGACAGTTTGTTCGGGGTCACGCCTGCGCAGGCGCGATGCAGACAGCCTCTGGGTGTGAACGAAGCCACGGAGCCAAACCTCGATTTAAAGGGAGCAGAGCAAGGGTAAGAAAAGCCACATGATGGGAAATTTCCACGGCTTCTCTGGCAGATGAGGAAAGGAGATTTCAGTCATTTAATTTTTAATACCTGGACCAGTGAATTCTTACTTTACCCACAGGACACACCGCTGAGTCTAATGGGAATGAAGTTAATTCATAGGTGTGAACTTGTGGATTTACAGTCTTAAATTCCACAGAATCTTTCAGGTTGGAAAAGACCCTCAGGATCATCGAGTCCAACCATCAGCCCCACTCTACAAAGTTCTCCCCTACCCCACATCCCCCAACAGCTCATCCAAAATTACATCCTGTACTAAACAAATTCACCCACCGAGGCATGTCACTGGAGTTCAATGATCCAGATGGCCAGTGAAAACATTTTTTACAGACAAAATAATCTGTATTTCTTAATCTTGATGCCAACTTTCAGTCCACCACCTACGTGTTACATCATGGATTTAATGCTCCTGCTCGTCCTGGGGACGTGGGTGCCAACGCGCGTCGTCGCCTGTCTGACAGAGCTCGGGGATGTGCAGGTCGGGGCGGAGCACCCCCCTCACGTCCAGTGATTTCCAGGTCTGAGCGTGAAACTCATGCAAGGGGCAAACGCGGCTCTGCTTCACCTGCTGCCTCAAGGCTTTGTCACCAGCACTTGGCTGTCACCCGTCGCCTACATCCTTCCTTTCGATCTCCACGTGATTGAAACAATATGGAATGCATAGCTATGTAGTTAGACCCCGGGTTCTGTGCCAGAAAATAATTGCATAAAATAAGAAGCTTAGCCACACTTCTCCTGTCTTCAATTAAAACTTGGAATAAAATAAAAGAGAAATTCATCTGGCAACTTATTCTAGTCATCTCCTAAAAGGAGAAATACAGAAATCATCAATCTAGTTAGGATGAGAGCAGGGAGATTTAAAAAAAAAAAAAAAAAATTAAAAAATCCCACTGTTGCAAATTTTCTTCTCGAGCAAATACAAATAGTTTTTATTGGTTCTTTTTAAAATAACTTGTATCGAACCGCTCTAGATTTAAATAGCTCTGCTCTCTGAATGGGGAACATCCTGGTAGTTCCCACTGTGCTGCATTTTCTGGGTTTGTTTGCTCGTCCCTTGCAGGAACCGTCCCACCCTCCGCGGAGACGCCGCCAGAGCTGCGGCGGAGGGTCCCTGGGCACGGGAGCGTGTGTGGCAGCGCTCCCGGAAAAGAGATGCGAACGCCCTCCTCGGCTCCAGCACCAGGCCTCCGCTGCATGGCTGCTCCTCTCGGCCAGGAAACAATCTGCCGTCTGTCTTGCACAACTTTTCGGTACAAAAGATGTCATTGTCTCTCTGTGAGGGGGTGCGTTCATCTTTGCTGACGAATCCCGTTATACAGCCAGTGTTTTCCAGAGGAAAGGAGCCTCGGTCCTATGGAGAGGGGGACAAGTCCCAGCCCTGGCCGTGCCGGACGCTAAACCCACCCGATGTGTCAGGCACCGTGCTCCCTCCTGCTCCCCGCGGGCAGCACTAGTGCCGTTTCCACGGGGTCTGTGAAAGCAGACAAGCTCTGGGGGGGTCCTGGCTGCGACACGGGGGCTCAGCCAGGCAGTCCCGGCGAAGCATCGCCTCCCAGAGCCATGACAGGAGGTGGGCCCAAGCCAGGCTGCCCACGGGGAGAGCTCCCAGCCCAATCCAGCCCTCTCTGTGTACTGGGGTGACAGACCAAGGTTTAGGATCTCAACATCTCAACCTGAGCTCACAGCTAGAAAACCAGACCAAAACCTGGCCCTGAACACCCCTGAATGTGAGCATCTTCCAAACCTAATGGGTTTTACAGGTCAGCATAACTCTAGGAAACATAATTCTTTGAAATACTGGCTCCAGCTTACGTGAACATTTTTATGTAAGGACAGTAATCCACATTTTCCTGGAAGTGTTGATGTCCACCATGATTTCTGCGCCGCATCACATGTCTCGTTCAGGAATCCAAGTCGGGGCGAGTGTGTGGCCTCACATTACACTCAAGAACAACTGGTACTTCAGCATCACTTCTGCGCCCGTCTGACAGTGCGACAACAAAGGGGAACAGTCCGACGGTTTTGGCAGAGAAGAGCTGGCTCGCACCTCGTGGGCTGTAGACCAGCCTCATCACGTCGCACTTCTGCAGAGAGGACAAGAGCGTGGGCCCCGTCCGCGGGCACGTGTGATGAGGGGAGAGGGACTCTCCCGTGGGCAGAGTGGGGTGTCCGGCAGCGGGGGGAGCCGCCTGCCAGCGCCCTGCGGCAGCAGCGCCCTGCAGCTGCTTCAAGCACTGTCCGGTGCAACCCAGCGGGGATGTCCTGGCCCAAAGCCCTGCTGCGAGTGGGAGCTGGGCTGGGTGACCGCCCGAGGTCCCTTCCAGCAGGAGTTGTTTGATGATCTATAGCGGGGCGAGAGGATCGCCAAAATCACAGCAGCTGCTACCCTCGCCGCTTCTAAACCGCACTGCTGGGGCGCCCCTGCAGCCCTGGTCACGCTGGGGGTGCAGCTGCCTGCGCTTCTCCTCTCGGGACGTCCGCGAAGAGACGAGCAAGG